ATTGATTTGATTTTAAGATATTATATTTTTCTTTTTGACAATTAAAAGATTTATCCAATTCTAATTTATGTGTTAATATTAATAATTAATAACAATTAGGCGACAGACATGGAAGATGTATTTCGATTGGAGCCAAGAATCTTCGTATTCTTATAAAAGGATGACAATTGATTCAGTTACAGAAAATATATCGATATTGTGTTGAATATTTTATAATTAAATGAATAATTGCAATTATTCATTCGGCATGCCGATTTCTTAATGCGACTACTTTATTCGTACGTCTTACAATGGCGATTTGATAAAAATTCGCGTAAAATTAAGTGTGTGCATGTGTCAGTGTACTGTGCCGCTCTCATTCTCTCCTTATTATCATAGCTCATTGTTTTTTCATTGCAATTTTCGCTGTCGGTACAGTAGTTTAATGTAACGAACGAGTTAACAATAAATATTTCGCATAAAGGAATAATCGATCGGCTTTACGCGTTTTTTCAGCATGTAGCAGAAGTACAAAACCATGGAGGACGCATCATCTTGGAAAAATGCAAATCAGAGGAAAAGATTTCCAAATATAATCTTCAATTAAACATGGATGTGTCGTTGATAATGCAAATAGAAATTTTATTTAAAATATATATTTAATATTATATATTTAATTTTATTAAATAAAATATTTTTTTCTTTTGAGTAAATTTGGAGAACATAAATTTTATAAATTTTACCTATTTTAAAGTATACAAATTGATCCCGAGATTCGAGAGTAATCGATCAATCGCAGTAATTCCTTCGACTTAACCTAATGAAAGTGATACCTTAGCGCTTGGTACATAAGAGAGAACTGTGAGAAGAGAGAAAATAATACTTAATTCTGTGAAGAAGATTATCTAAATTAGAAAGTATAAAAGTGAAGAATAATGGAATAATTTCTAGACGTTATATAACCTCAAAAAAGGATTGAAGGCGCATACTTAAAAAAAAGTATGTAAACGTAAGCTCGATGTTATCAGAGTCCGATTAGAATGTTGGAATTTACCAAGTGGCGATTGGTGGCGATTTTATCATTCGCAGAATCGCACAGAAATTGTAAACCAAATGGAACTCGTAGCTCCTAACCTTCTCAATATTCTTTGAATCGGGCGATTCGTTTCCGTATTCGATGTAGCTGACAGCTGTCGCGTCAGTATATACGTCGATCGACTAATGGGGAACGAAAAGAGTGCTCTTCGCGGTCTCGAAATCGAAGACAAGGCCATCGAGGTGACGGACTATTGGATGCACTACGATGCTTACGTGCATGACTCGAGCCTGCAGAGACTCTCCATCTTCATCAGCGAACCATCCTTACACTTTGCAGCGACGTTTGGGAGACCGTCACCATTGGAGCGAGCGGCAAAGGTTGACATCTATTCTGACCTTTTCATTTTTTAATATTCCTTTAAGGCACATATAAGATGTTTCCAAAGGGTATAGTTGACTTGAATAGGAATTTTGTTTTTCAGCAAAGATACAGTATAACACAGTGAATCATTACATCCTTGTTGTTTAGGATTCCCAATATTGGGAAAGATAAAATGATTCACTGTTATAGGTGTTTTCCAATAAGACACAGATAATACAGTGTAACATAGTGAATTATATTTAACATTGGTAAATAATAAGGTTGTAATGATTTGTGTTACACTGTATCTTTACTGGAAAATACCTATAAGTCGAGAATATTTTTCATTTAATAATACTATTTGACATAGAGTGCTTTCCAGCAAAAGACACATGACAGTGTAACAATCTTTATTGTTTCGATGTTTTAAAATGAGGCTGAAATGATTTACTATATTACATTATGTCTTGCTGAAAAACATTTATAGAATATTTTTTGAACTATTTGGAAGCTTTCTAACAGAGGACACATATCCTTCTGTTTTTACTTAATACTCAATGAGAGAAAAAGACAGAATGACTTTTTTATTTATTTATATTTCTTGCTGGAAAGCTCTCTTTATCTTCGACAAGCCTGAAAATGAGAATGCTTTGAAATCATATGATTTTTTTAAATATTCCTTTATATACTATGTAATTATAATTATGGATTATATAACATATACATGTATTGTGAAAATAAAATTATAAGAAATAAATGGATTTAATGTATGTTTTAGAATTTTATGTTACATCGGCATCCCTGTATCCTGAAATATATTTCTTCCTGGAGCAAAGGTAGTAAATTCTTTCTCGCTACGGAAGAGGCTAGGCCACTGGTCCAAGTAATCGAAAAGCAGAATATACTACAAATATGTATCGGTTTGCATAGTATCCTACGAGCTTTAATATTTCTACATGAGACCGCACTGGCGTCACATAATAACGTGTGCAGTAGTTCTATTTATGTCACCGCAGAGGGATATTGGAAATTGGGTGGATTAGAATGCTTGTGTAAATTCGCAGATGCATCGCCAACGTATTATCAACGAATAAAGAATTACAGATACGAAAAAGCGATATCATCGAATGAAGATATAGCTGATTTAGTTAAAACTTCTAATCTCACTGCAATTGATTCGTATGCATTTGGAGTATTAGCAGAAGACATTTTGAAGAATTTAAAAGATACAGGTATATAAAATTTAAAAGTCATCATAAATGTTGTCTTTGTTGAATATGTGCTAAAATGTATTAAATTTCAACTGATTTCAGATGAAGCACCAAACTTGCTGGAATTTAGTGAATTTTGTAAAAAAAATCTGCAAAATTCAGATGCATATTTGAGAAATAGCTTATTGAACGTACTGCAGCATTCATTTTTCACTCACGAATTTATAAGGATACATGCATTTTTGGAGGAATTACCATTAAAAACTGATGTTGAAAGGGAAGAATTTTTCACGTAAGAATCTTCAGAGAAAATATGTTAATTTATTACATAATATGTACCATAAAAATCATATATAGAAAATTTGTAATTTTTTAGGAAATTAAGACAGCAACTACAGATGTATCCCGAGGCTGTTGTTGCTGAACAACTAGGCAGAGTGCTTCTTTCCAGGATAGTTTTGTTGGATAGCACTGCCCAAGTAAAGCTTTTACCTTTTATCTTTAAACCCAAAGGTTAGGATATGTCTATCGCATCTAGCATGATCATGATTATCTTTATTAAAATTATAAAATTATTTGATACATATTAAAATCTTTGTTTCACGTAATAATAACCTAATAAAATGTTTAATATTTCTTGCAGATGAGAAAAACGATTTGGGGACTAGTCTGTTTACAATTCCTACTTTTAAGACTATCTTAGTACCAAGACTTCTACAAATGTTTTGTATTCGAGATGTTTCTATTCGTCTGCTGCTGCTGTCCCATTTCAGTTCGTTCGTTCACATATTCGAAGCAGACGAATTGAAAAATCATATTCTTCCCGAATTACTCGTTGGAATAAAAGACACCAACGACGATCTCGTCTGTGCCACGTTAAGGGCATTGGCTGACATAGTGCCAATTTTGGGTGCAGCGGCAGTTATCGGTGGAAACCGGGGGAAATTATTTACGGACGGTCGGCCGAATAAGAAAATGATTCGCAACAAAAATCTCGATGATATTAGGAAAGCTTTAACGTTCACTCAAGAGATGCCTGTCTTCGTGAATGTAGACGAGAACAACGTTCATTTATCGGAAAGACCATCGCCAGACGGTGGTGAGGATAAGAAGGAGAAAGAATTTTCATTCGCCGAAGAGGAATACATCTGGTCGGATTGGGAAACACAAGATTCAGTTGGGAATGGTCATTGTGATGTAGAAGAAGCTTCCTCCAACAATGTGCAAACGGAAATCCAAGCTCCTTGCGATACAGACTCATCCTCGCCCTTGTCTGACTTACCATCGAGCTCTGAGAAGTCAAAATATACAAAGAAACTAGTACTTAATGATATTACTGAGCTTGATATAAAGAATTCGAAGGTAATAAAGTCTTCAAAAGAAGAATTCGACTTTTTCACCGATATGGAGCCTGTAATACAGAAGACGCAGATCTTACACGTCCCAGAAGTGCAATCGCCGAAGAGCATGTTCGACGTTAAGACGTCGGGTGCCACTTTGGAAGAACATGACGTTAATGGTTGGGGGGAAGACTTGAGTGACTTGAGCCTAGATGATACGTATGAATTGGCGAAACAGTGAGCGCGATAAAAAGAGAAACTATTTGAATAAAGAAGCGAACGAGCTTGTACGACAAATGATATTCTCCTAATTGTATCCATTTTTATTGACGTCCAATATATGTGATTATAATACCATTATCCAAATAAGTATTTTTAATAAATATAAAATATATGAGATAGGCTAAAGATATACAATATATTTTTCGTTTAAGTTTTTTTTATTAAACCATACGGAAATATTAGGATATGCACATTTATTGAGCAGACGTTCCACTGATTCTATGAGAATATTTGTCGCAATTGTGGATCTTTATGTAATTAATAGATACATATTAAGAGTGTGTTTTATGCTTATTTTTGCCAATAGAAATTAATTTTAATCTCATTTTAATTTACTTTTTCTTTCTAGAATTAAAAAAGGATAAAATATGAATTAAAGTTAATTTACATTCAGTAGAAATTATTAGATTGTCTTTTTATTATAGACTAGAACAGTAATTTATAATAAGTCATTAGTAATAAATCGGAAGTTAACAAGTTAGAAATTGACCAACCATAGTCAAATGTGAAAAAATAATTAATCGTCTATAGTTGATCAATTTCTAGTTTCTAATTTCTGATTTATTACTTTAATGATTTATTGTAAAAATTTTTTTTAAAGAAAGCAGTTGTCAAGAATATAAATATAAATATAATAAAAAGATGTTTGCAACATACCTTTTTATACGTTTTAAATTAATGATAAGATCATATAACTGACAATTCACCAATGACAATTCAGTGACTGAAATGTCATTGGTGAATTGTCAGTCACGTGATCTTTTTTCGCTTAATGAACGATGGCGATGAGCGATGTACGAAAAAGTATCTTTATACTCCGGAGTCAGACTTAGAATTTTGAAGTCCAGCTGTCTACCATGGACTGTTCGGATTTATTCAAATCATTGATCGTTCATGATTAGACCCATTAGAGGGTTAGAGTGATTTCAGTCATAGCTAGGAATGTACGTTCGCATAATGCAGGATGACGCAGACCAGGTATTGGACGCGGAGCAGTGGCGGCTGGAAGCCCAGGCAATAATCAACGATGTGAAAAAGCACGTGCAGGACCTAAAAGTGTCTGAGCGGCTGACCAGCACAAACCAGATGATCTACCTGAACCTAATCACGCTGGAGGGTCTGCGGTTTTGCGTGGAACTGTCGGTTGCCGGCTTCGCCATTGTCGGCAATCGGCACGACGACACGTCGAACGCGAGCAACGAACGTTTCGAGACGCCCTATGGCCTCCTGAACTTCGTCAGTCCGCAATACAGGAATTCCTTCGGGAATGCATTGTTAGATAAACTGAAGGAACTGAGCGATAAACAGTAGATCTCGAGAGATAACAGAAAAAGAGCAACGTTATTGTTTTGATTATTGTTTAGATTAAGAGTTAAATTAGGTTAAGTGCGTTTCATCCCAGTGAGTTCTATATGTCCGTATATTCATAGTTAGACCTTGTACTTAAGGCTTCCTTAAATTTATCTTTAGATAGATTGGCTGTTCAGCAGCCAATGAAATAATTCGTAAAGTATCTAAAAATAAATTTAAGGAAGCCTTAAATATAAGGCCTGATTGTAAATACAAATAATAATGGAGCATATTGGAGCATATTTCTTTATTTTTTCTTGTTACACTCAAAATTTTGGCTGCATTTTCTCTATATTAAATTATAGAAAATAGCTACAGTTTGATAATTGAGAAGAAAAGCAAACAAATACTTGTCTTTTTTACTCTTTTCTGCAAATAATATTAGCCAATCAACAGTCTCTGACAAAGAAAACAGTATAATCTTTTATTATCAGAATGTCATTGTATAGGAAATTGGGACACCCACGCTCCTCAATGGCATGCTCCAGTATATTATAAAACTCATTGAATCCTTCAGAACTGACGTAGGTCTATTGTGAAACTTAATTAGAAATCTCTTTGTTAAAAATGTCAACAATTGAATTTTCTTGATGTCACGTCTGCAAATTTGGAATATTCGTATTAAAATTTATTTATTTAATATTCATTCTTTTTATGTAATTTTTAATCCTTTGAAATTTAATTAGTGTCTTATGTAATTAAGGACCTCTTTCATTATCTTCAGTTAATTTACGTTTTTATCGTTATTAATTTACGTTAATATAGATTAACTTCAATTTCGATTCAATTTGCTTTTTTCATCTTTTTTTAATTCTTAGAACATAGAAAAACAGAATTATAGCGACGGTTGTTTCACTCCGCCTATCTTTATATTAGATTGTAGAATCTTGTTCTGTAAGAAATTCTATATTATGAAATGATAGAAGATTTATATTTTATTTCTGCACTAGATTTGAACTAGAATTCTTCTTCTCGCTTTCTTCAAATTTCACACATATCTATTTAACTTTAAGTACAAAAAGTATATATACTTAATTCAGCTAAAAGACCTATACATTTATAGAAAGAAAATGAGACTGGAGTTTTTGAAATGAAAATACATGTCTGATTCACTGGAAAATTTGACTTGTGCCACCTTTATCCAAACTTCTGAAATAATTCCTGGAACTTTATAGAGTTTTAATCTTTTCGCCCATTACGTTTTTCCCAATTTTATTTTCTTTTATTATGAATCAATTTTATGATAAATTTATCATAAATTAATTTTATTGAAGTCAAACTTTTTTTTCAGTTGTGAAACGTATCACAGATTATAAAGTTTCTGCTTCATTCATATGTTTATTCCAAAAGTGTATACTTCCACCATGGTTTATTCTCAAATTTATCTTTTACATTTTTTAATTATTTCTAGCAAATATATTTGCCGTATTCTTGCACTTTTATCCGCATTCATAAGAATCTAAGAAACTGCGAATACTTTCAGGACTGAATTTAAAGTCCTTAAATTTTTCGCGACGACGTTGATTTATCGTTCCCGGAAAGCGAATAGGACGTTCTCTTATCGTCTTCCGTGAAGTGATTTTCTAACGCTTTCGATCTAATCATGCAATGACTTCACAGACGCAAAATGACGTATATGTCTTATCACATTGTGCGTTGTTCCAGCGCAACTGCGACGCAACAGTTTTACTAATTAATACTCTCGTGGGCGATGAGGAAATGAGGAATTTTATTGAGAATTAAGAGAGAACAATTATGATGCAATTCGATCGACTAACGCAAAAATATCAGCTGTAATGATGAAAGATAAAAAAATTTTGAATTCAAACGATTTCGCTTGCATTTCAAACAGGTCGCTATCGTGTCAAGTTTATCATTTGCATTTACAAGACAACTCTGTAATTTAAATTTCGCTTTCAACTTGTTCCGCATTCGGCATTTTAGATGGTTTATTTTACAGGATTGAAGGATCGACATAGTTACTCGAAGCTACTTTTGAAAGTATTGAGAATACCGTACTGATGTTTGAATATGAATTTAATGTGAACATGCAGGTGAGCGTCTCAATAATTTCTGTGAAACAGGACATTTTTATTCTTGAAATTCTGAGTAAAGCTAACTCGTTGTTATTATTATTATTGTGCTTTCTAGCAAAAGACGCACTTAAAAAAAAATTATTTATTTGATGTACTTAATTTGATTGTCTTTATTTTTTTTGTTGGAGAATGTAAGTCAAACATAATTTAATGATTTTGTCAAATGAATAATATTTTTCTCAGTGCAGTGTAACACAATGATCATTTCATCATTGTTTAATCGACAAACAAGGATATAATGGTTCATTGTCTTTTGTTAAGAAAGCAGTCTATATTTTTCATTCAAATTGTTATTCTTTTTTTTTTTCTTTTTTTCCCTCTAATGAATTTCCCAATATATAAAGGCAAAGTTTCATGAAGTTCAAATTATTGTCATTTAGATATCGCTGATATTAAAGGACTAATCGATGTTTTGTCTCGAAACTGACCATCACTCGAACGTTCATTCTTTGTCCATTCTTTGTAGTTACATTGTATCATCTGAAATTTGTTTAAAGTAAAGTGAGATTATTTCTCTTTTAAGAAACACAATCGACACAAACGTCGTTCTGTCTTTCTTAGCATTCGATGAATAAACGAAGATAGAACGGCATTATGTCTCCTAAAGAAAAAGTAGCTAAATATATATAATTAGATCTAATAACAAGTAAAATGTGTGTGTGTGTGTGTGTGTGTGTGTGTGTGTGTGTGTGTGTGTGTGTGTGTGTGTGTGTGTAACATTATCTATTTTATTTTATTTTATTTCAATAGAATTATATGTCGGATAGAAGGAAAGGAAAAAAGGATACTATGAAAAAGAAAAGAAACTCTGTCTTTTATGATAATAAGAACGTATTCTTCCTTTAATATCCATGAAGTATGTTTAAGGTCATCAATGAGGACAAAGAAATTTTGGCTCCTTTTATTCTGATTGGCCAAACTTCTATCTTCAATCTCATTTTTTAATGCGTAGTCTGATTCCGGCCTAAGACTGCAGATTTTTGGAGATTGGAAATTGCGAATTGAAGATTAGAATTTAATCAAACGATTTGATTAAATTCGAAGGATACAGATAAAATTAAACTTATTTTGATTGTCAAATTCTACTCTTCAATTCGCAATCTTCAATCTTCAATTCGCCTTTAGCAAATACAATGTAATTCGATACATAAGTATATTTTAAAAAGAAAAGAACTTTCTCTTGTTGTCTGTAAACTCACTTGAAAAATGAGTGTCAATTGTCGCGGAATGCTGTCCTCGTGTTACGTCATTTCATGCTTCTCTCCTAGTGAAAATTTTAATCTTTTTTGAAGTTTTATATAAATTTCAGAATTTTTCAGAATATCTGAATTTTTTGTGACTTTTTAGTTTTTTTTTATACAAATTGAAACACTTCAAAAGGATCGAGAAAGTCTATATACATTCTTTTTAGAATTCTTTACATATGTGAATTCTAAAATTCTAAAATTTTATAAATTTCTCACATTAGAATTGTTAATGAAATCTTACAAAATTGCGGGTCTCCGTTTCCATGATTCTTTTACACTTCATTTCTGAGCTCAGTTAGATCAGAATCAAACTAAGCATTGAAGAATGAGATTGAAGATTGAAAGATTGAAGTTTGATCAGAACAAAAGAAGCCAAAATTTCTTTAGCCTCATTGATGAAATTTTAATCTTTAATCTTTAATTTTCAATGCATAGTCTGATTCCGGTCTAACAGCAACTTCGTTGGTGCTTCATCTTATTTTATGTATTCTGTATATACAAGTGCGCAAAATTAAAAAGTAAATTAAAAATCTTAGAATATTTCAGAATTTATATATATGAAAAATTCTAAGAAAAAATGTATATTTCTAAGTATCTCTAAAAAATGTTTCTTCAAGAATTTTTATACGAAGTGAAACATTTTTTAAAGATGCTTAGAAATATACGCTTTTTCTTAGAATTTTTCATTTATAAATTTTGAAATATTTTAAGAGTTTTAATTTACTTTTTTTATTTTATTGCGCACTTAATAAGAATACATAAAATAATAATACATACAAAAATTCTAAGAAGAATTTTTTCAATATAAAAAGTTCAGCTACGAAGAACGAATCTCGAGGCACCGAGTCGCCTGGTGCCATCCCTGCTATTAATACACCCGTCTCGAATCTCGATTGCGCGCGGAGCCACCTTCCGCGAATCGACGGGAGTACTCTCGCCGCTCTCGCGAGTCTCGTGTGGTATTTCTTTACGATGGCACGCGGGAGATTAGTTAGCGTGCGATGACACGCCCGTGTCCGTGTCGTCTCACATTAAGCGTATAGTGATAAGGCCAGTCTTGCGCAGATCCGCGGTGAAGTTGTACTCATTGCGCTTTTGTCCCGTCTTGTCGCGTACGTATGTACGTGAGGACACGATCAGACACGATAATCACGCGAGTTCTCGACAAAGAAAAAGACGGACGGACGGACGAAGTGTCAACTATCAAGGAATAAACGAAGCCGATGCGCCGCGAGATACAGATCAGTGCGGATCGCGCATTCGTGCCTTCGTGAGTCCGACGTTGCCTAGGACACTCTGGACACCGTGGGATATTGCGCGGCGAATGAGGTGAGAGCGACGACGATGCGACACGATACGATTTCGCGAATGTGCGTGAGAGAAAGAATGAGCGAACGAGCGAGCGAGCTGTATCGAGAAAGTGTGTCTGACTCACGGAGAGTCACCGGGGGAAGAAAAAGACTCGTGGGAGAGTCAGAATGAGACGTGAGATACGATTTGACGCATCGAAATTCGCGTTATTTCATTTCCTGGCCAAGGAAGACGTCCATGGACGAGAATAAGGCGTATACGCCGTATCGCGTGACGTTGGCCGACAATCGCACGATACCGCGATACGCGGCGCACTTCATGTCGATTGCGCTCGTCCGACTTTCTGTTTACATTCCGCGACGAGCAGCGACGAGGGATCAGGCAAGGCGGATCGAGAATCTGAAGAATTCGTAGCATGAGAAAGACGCGTGTTTACTTTCCCTCGCGGAATCATCTGTGCCTCTTAAAGCGCTGGACTGCGTATTTTTGAGCCGGTTGCGGCAACGCCGTCTCGGCGCCGTGCGCTCTGCCAAGATTTAATTCTGTTGTCGGCACCTGTGAGCCAGAGTTATGACACGAATAACCCTGCGCCGCGAAGAACAGTTAATTGGGACTTATTAGCGCGTGCTACTATCGATCCTCTTTTCGTTTCTTCACTCTGATTCAGGCGAATGCGAATCACGTCACAATTGGACCGTTCGCCAATTAATTTTCGCATCGCGGCATCGACATGAATAATCTCGACCGGTACTGTTTTTCATAAGTGAAATCGTTCACTTAGGCCCGATTCCACAAATATAAGATTAACTCCTTATCTTTTCAATTTTAGAATTGGAAAAGGATGAACAGTAAGTTGAACCGAGATTAACGTTAATCTTACATTTATGAAAGGTCTTAATTATATCATGCCTTAGTTATGGGTTGTAATTTGCTTTTTGTGTATTGACAGAGGAAGATATGAGATTTATTTAATGCGAGCAACTTTCTCCTTTTTACAGGAAATGATTTGTAATATAAAAGTGGAACCTAATAAATTCAACGTCGGCGCCATCGACCCTGCGAGAACGCGCTATTAATACGGTCCTGTGTGTTTTTCATCGATACTGTCCATTGCCGCACGCTACTCCGTCGCTTTGTCGCATAACAGATTGATCACGCACGAGCGAAATCACTCTGTGCCTGAACGTGGCTTGGAGCGAAGTCCAGAGACTGGATCTTCCACTTCTCCTGGAGCAGTCTGAGGACGCGGCAGTGACGACGCAAGATCGTCCGTGACAGACTGTGACAGCGCGGTGTTATCTTCGCCCTGCGTCCCGCCACTGCGGGATTGTCGTGTGCGTGTGGCATTTTGTGAACTTGTGCCCAGCCACCCAGATGCCGTCTAAAGATCACCGCCGAGACTATCGCCAGCCACGTGATCGGTAAGTTTGATTTCATCTATGTTTATGTCAATGTGCTGGCCAAACTGAGTTCCTCGTTATTCATGAATTGGCAGAACTAATGATCGTTTTGAAAAACTAGTTTCTCTCTTCTTCCTCATTCCTAATTTTGTTTGCTAATCAGATTTTTGTATATTAAATGCGGAAGAATATTTTGATTTCATCTTTTTTAGAGACTTTATGACGAGCAATTTTGTTAAAACAGGAGTGAGAAAGAAGAGAGTATATATTATTTCTTCATATATGCTATCTCTCTCATTCTAATTTATATTTACTTATCTTATTCATTCTGATTTCTTACTGAAGTTGCAAAACAGGCCAATCAGAAATTTATCATTTCGTGGCCAGATTCTGTTATAGTCTCTAATCTTTTTCATACTTATGTATTTCTATTTTGGTATTTACATCTTAAATAAATTAACCGGAACATGAATGAGATGGATATAGAATTTTAAAAGAACTATAATTCGGCCTATGATCCTCACTAATATGGCATTCTTACAAATCAGCATTGGTAGTTATGATAATAGCAATGATTCATCAGTTAATATGATCAAATTAAAGGCAGTGATACGACGTAGAACTAAGAGAAAAGTAGTGCTTATACAGCACTTTCCACTGTGACCGAATAGAGAATAAAAAAATAGTTCTTGGCACATAATTTTAATGTTTATGATCATAAAATTTTTAATATAAATATACAACTTATCTATATTAAATATAAAGCTTTATCTTAATATAATTTAATTAAACAATTTTTTAAACCTATAAAATTTTTGGGTTTAACGAAGATACAAATAATATTTTTAATGATTTTATTTATGTATTAATAGAAATAATTTTTCTGAAACGTGAATATATTTCTCCTTATATGAAGTATTCTACATTCTAAATTTAGAAATGTCTCTGTGCTTAATGTATATTTAAAGTATAAATTAGATAATGTAACCTCTTAGGGAGAAAATTACTGCCGAAGATAGACCAATTGGAGTCCAATCATTGTGGAGTATAATTTGTTTGTTCTGTAATTTTTTATACTTTATGTTTTTTTTATCCTTACATAATATTTATAATGCATAAATATTGATATTAGAATAAAATTATAAATTAATGCATATTGAGATACATAAGCTTTCGCAATTGAGCTTGCTTTACCACGATTTATTTCAAGGAAGAATCTATGAATCACAATAAGATAAAAAATTATCATAAATCCTATATCGTCATTCCATTGATATTAAATTTATCTAATAATATCAAGAGATAATCTCTCCCATATGAGATAAAAATTTTTAATTAATTCTTGATACTAATTATTAGAATTGTATCTTTTACTTTTTACAGCTTAAAATGATCAAATATTAATTTATTGATTGATTCTAATAAAAATAGATTAATAATAGCAACATGGCCATTGTTACTTTATAAAATATCATACAATATTGTATTACTTTTGTACTTTATATTATTTTTGTATCTGTAATTTATGTACATAGGTTCAACCTGAACTTATTGAAACGAAGTAGATAGATGACAACCTTCTTAGAACAAAGGTATGGCAAGCTTGATGGTGAACACCTCTAGTAAAAACAGTTCGCGCAGTGGATCTCCTAGTAGGACAACTTCGACGTCTCAACTGCAGCAACAACAACCGACAGCAAACTTGGATCATACTCCAAGATTGCGTAATGCCCCAATGTAAGATTCTATTAGTATAATAGACATACATACAATTTACTATTATTGCATGTCATTTAATATTCGATTTTTTGTATGAATCATACAAAATCTATTTACATATGTATATATGTATAATTTACTTATCTATTAACTTATTTTTATACTATTATACTAATTATTCTAAATTTTAAAATTTGTTAAATAAAATTTAATTTTTAAACGGATTAATTTTGTTAAAAATTAGAGAAATTATAATAATAAATAAACCTTTGTTAAATATTTGTTTCAGTTCTCAAGGAGAGGGTAGCACAGGCAGTGGAAGTAGTGGTGGTGGTGGTACCGGAAGTAGCCTCAACATGAAAGGCAGTAACAGACAAAGGTCACCAGGAAATTTAATCCGCACGGGGGATGCCATGGATGAACCAAGTAATACTTCAAACACTGCCGAACCAGACGAGTTTGTGCCAAATGTTCATCCACCGACTGATGACGAAGGAGTATGTATTTCTGATTCATTTTAAATAATCTCGAGTCTAATGAGATATAAAATAATAAGTGTTCTGCATAAAAAACAGCAAGATTATTACTTTACCTAGATCTAATGTGTATATGCAATCTATAGCATATCTTTGTGCTCTTATATAAAAAGAGTTACATAATATTGCTATTGTGTATACATTAACTAACATAATAGGCTGCAAAGTTATCAATCATTAATACGTAGTCAAAGTTATGAAAATAGTAATTTAAAAATAGTATAACTATTACATATATACATATATTTTAAATAATTATATTAGTTTCGTTTATTTTTAAACTCTTTAGCCGATAAATAAAGATCTTACAATTCTTTACAAAAAAATAACAGTGTAAATTGTTTTTTATTTAAACTGCATTATTTATTTATTGTTTTTAGTTCTAGTTAGGATTAACATTATAGTTTTTTTTATGTTTTTTTATACAATTTTGAATGAAAAATATCATTATATTTTTATAGGAACAATATCACACAACCCAATCGTTCCTATCAAATGGTTCTTCTGAGTTGATAAGCGATGATGTCGACTCTAGTGCAGCACGAGTTCGTCAAGCTATTGAACATATTCAAAGCAAAATTGCTAAAACGCGAGAACAGATAAGAATAGAACAAACCACACGGGATGGTAATATAAAGCTTTTTAAATTTAGTTAATACACATAAAAACAAAATGTTGTTATATGTCATTTACTCTTTAGAAAACGTCAATGAGTATTTGAAATTGGCTGCTAATGCGGATAAGCAGCAATTAACTAGGATTAAAACGGTATTCGAAAAGAAGAATCAAAAATCGGCGCACAGTATTTCACAGTTACAAAAAAAGTTAGACAGTTACACAAAAAAATTAAGAAATTATGAAATGAATGGTGCACCGACGAGTCATAGACAACCGAGGGAAATGTTACGCGACATGGGACAAGGACTTAAGTGAGTTATACATAAATGATTTTTTAATTGTTTTTTTAATTAAAAAAAATATTTCTTAAAAAAAATATTTAAACTTATCACTAAATAAGGTCCATATAAATATACATATTATTTATTTGATAAGCATTGTCTTTGACTAATTTGGGCTTGTATTCCAGACATGTAGGAGGAAACATCAGGGATGGAATCACTGGTTTTTCAGGGTGAGTGTTCATATAAAAATAGATCCCATGCTCAAATATGCTGAAACTCTATTCTTATGTGGTTGATTCATCACTTTGTTTTAGCACTGCCATTAATCCTTCCGATTTAAAATTAATACAGGATATATTTTCTTAATCATTTTTACCAGAAATTATTTTTAAAAGTACAGTTAAACAAAACGTTATACGCTTATTCATGTTTAATCATATTTTATTGCAGAACTGTAATGTCTAAACCAAGAGAGTTTGCTCATCTTATTAAAAATAAATTTGGAAGTGCCGATAATATAAATACTTTATCACGTAAGTAAGAATAAATTTCCAGTGAATTTTATATAATTCAAGCTGAAGTATAACATGTTACCTGGTTAAAACAACAATTTAAATTGATTCAAATTAATAAATGTAATTTATTTAAATGCAATTTATTTATGCAGAAAATAAAATCGTATAATTCTTACAGTATGATTCAGATAATCTATTCTTGTCATTTCCATTTATTTAAAAATGTGACATATATTTAGATAAGAAAATAAATATCTTTTAACGTTTTTGCTATCATGGCAGTTGAGAGTAGTAAGTAATGTGTTGTCCAAAGAGCGAGAGTTACACTACACTTTATTATATGCTTCATGCACAATATTCTTATTTTTTTGCTGCTTCTATCTTCTTTACAAAGAAATGATTAATGATAATACATTATTGTTTTTGTAAAATGTATAAATATGATTAAAAATTAGTTATTTTATATAGTATATATTCTTTGCTTTCGATTGTGCTTATTAAACTTCTATTTTGTTTTTTGATGCAGAACAGTTACTCGATATAATTTTATCACACGTTATGTTGTATATATTTATTTAACATTATCTTATTATGTAGCAAAATATTAGATAATTTACAATGGCTTCTATAATTACACATTTGCCTTTCTTTATTTACTATCAGTTATCCAATACTCTCTTGTAATGATGCTAAAATATATAATAACTAATTGTTTTACTATCACGATTTAAAAAATGCATTTTATATTGTGAAACGATTGACTTTTTAAAAAATAAAAAAGATGTAAAATAAATAAAACTGGAACGAGACTTAACTATTGTTTGAGAAAACTAAATAACATATTAAAAATAATATTACTTCAAAAGGCCAAGGTTTGGTATTGGATAACATTCTAATTTGCCACCTCTGTGTCTCTGCAGATGGCTCGACTTTTTATGTAAACGATACACCGCATGCAGGTAATGGTGATAACGCTAGCGTTGAAGATGATAAAACTCACCATGGATCGGCTACACTTCCGGGTGGATGCAGTCTGGGATCTACCCAAAGTGCAGCGGCTATGAAGTTTCCGTCTGAGGAAGGATCGGAGTGTTCTAGCGTAACTAGTGAAAGCGGCCCTGGTAGTAGAGGACAGCCGCATACATGTCACAGTAATAATGCAGCCTTGAGTCTCAAATCTATTTTTGCAGAATTACAGGAACATCGGGAAAATCTTGATCGAATGAGAGAAAAATTAGATAATGTAAAGGTTTGTATTTAATTTTATTTAAATATATCCGATAATTCAAACTAAAATATTTTCTAAAAAAAAATTATCTGCGTACAACTATTTTCGACTGCAAAATTATCTGCATACAAATATTTGACTAATCTTTTTTTTTTTTACAGACATTACAGCAGGAAGTGACATATCTTTCCCATTCCCTCCAAGAAGAACGTTTTAGATGTGAACGTTTAGAAGAGCAGATTAATGATTTAACAGAATTGCATCAGAACGAAGTGGAAAACTTGAAACAGACTATCACAGATATGGAGGAGAAAGTGCAATATCAAAGTGAAGATAGATTACGAGATATACATGAGATGTTAGAAAGTTGTCAAACTAAAATTTGTAAAATGGAACATCAACAACAACAGCATCAACAATATGTGACATTGGAGGGTTTAGATAATAGCAATGCGAGAGCGTTAGTTGTAAAATTGATAAATGTAGTATTGACAGTATTGCAAGTTGTTTTGCTCCTTGTTGCAACGGGTGCTGGTATTATGATGCCTTTTCTCAGAACTAGGTAAGCTTATCATTGAGATATTTTTTATTTTATTCTCTTATTCTTTTGATATCACTTTTTCGTTTTATTTTACGCGTTCTAGAGATATTAAACAATTAATGAACTATTTAGATTTTTATTCTCCATCATTATCTATATTCATTTCTATTAAATATCTATAGATTTCTATGCGTAAGTAGAAAGTTAAAATATAATTTGTATGTATTAATAATTTTTTTTTATAATATTTCTTTATAATTTATATATTTCTTTTTTTCATCTTCATATTATAACTATCACAATCACTGCAATCATCTGAATTTATTTTGCACATTCATTATTTTGTTTTGTTTTCGCATGTCTGTTACAGCTGTACTAAGCCTCATTGTTTCATGTGCAGGGTGCGTATATTAACGACTACATTCGTCGTACTGGGAATAGTATTTGTATTAAAGCAATGGCCTGAGGTACATGACGTTGGCAGCCACCTCATGCGCCATCTCAAACAGACGCTCGCCATGAAGTAGCATTGTAAGTGAATGAAATTTTCACTTGGTGCTTAATTGCCGTTAACATGTAGAGGCAATGTAATGGTATTATATTTTATAAAAAATGAATAAAATGAAAGTTCCTAAATAACTTGTCTCAAAGAAAGAGAGAGGAAGAGAGGAGAGAAAAAAATATTTTATGTAAACAGTATTTATTTTAGGGTGGAATATTTAAATTGAATCAAACCTTGTGATGAAGCTGGGCTAGATTGGACACATTGAATGAAACCTTGCATCCATTTATCAGTGTTGTAGCACATTGGAGCAATAATAGTATGTATACGCGTAAATAAGTTTATCTTGTATTTTGGGTTGTTTAAATTTATTATTATAATATATATGTATTTTTGATACTATTATTTAAATTGACAAAGCTATTTTGCTATAGGAAAATACGTGATTTTCAAATTAATTTGTATAAACTTTCATCAATTTCATATAATTTATATCTCTTCATTTTTGGTAAAACTTTATTTTTCACGATCGTGACATTAGCGATCTACCAGTGCTGAAACAAATGATATTAGAGAAGCTTCTACATATATTAAGACACGAAGAATTGTTGAAATATACACAGTGACACTGCTTGACTATATGTAGCACATTATTATGAAAATTTAATTTCAATTAGCAGTGTGTATCTCTGCATTAATTTCTTTGATGAAATGTAAAAGTAGTAGAAAAAATCGAGTGAAAAAGTGATGCACACCAGGATATTGTCTTCAACTTCCACCATCGGTCCAGTTACAATTTGTCGATGTACAATCGATTTATTTAAATCTTCTTGGATGTATGTGTCGATAAATCAAGAATTTGTAACATCCAAATCGTCCAAATGCTAAACAATAATGTAAGTTAAGACAGAGCTCTTATATCATTACAGATGGCTACTGTCCGGCATTGTATAAAGTATGAGATAGTGCGTACTGTATATTTACTTGTAATATCCGATAAAAGTATAAGTTCTCTAGGAAATGAAAGCTTTTTTAATTGTTGTTGCATTGTATAAAATAGCTAGTATATAAATTGAGTCACGCATGCAATGAAAAAGAAATGAAGAATTTCATTGAAGAAACATTTCTTGTTGAAAGATTTTTCAAAAATCGTGAATATTAGATTTGGACATAAGTAAAAATGTTACATATACATGTGCTGCTACATCCGATATCAAAGGAGGACCAACCGTCTCTTTCCTCTTATCCTACGATACGATTTACATCGCACATATTATATATATAAAAAGTTAAAGTTATAATAATGAAGACGAGAGTGATTTTCATTAATCCAATGAATGATTTAATCATCAAAAAATCATAAATTTTGCATATATATATTATAACGAGCATAAAGAATTGATCCATGACAATTAGCTGAAATGAGAGAAAGACTGAAGGACTACATTGCTATAATTATGTTTACTTTAACATTGGCGCTATAATTTTAAGTGTTTAGTGGAAATTATAACATTAGAATATAATACAAATTTATGGAAATGAGAAGTACTTGATATATCACAAAAATAGGATGAGTTAAAATAACAGCAGCATTCAGAAATAAGACTTAGCACCTGATTTGTGTTTCTTCTTTGTATTGTTACTATTTGATAACAGAGCATAAATATGACTTTTATATTCACTATGTTATAATACAATTTTCTAATTTTTACAATCAGAATGATTCATGTCTGAGCACCATTATTACTCAAAGCAAATGCAGCACAATACGTTAAATAATGAACTATACAAATGAAGATTTTTTATCTTATTTAAATCATTATGTCGTGCTGCTTTCGTCTTGCACAGAAATTTTAATGTTCTTATTTTACGTTATATGTGTACAACAAAGTAAAAGTAATAGTAACTTATAATTAACAGTTCAGTATCTGTGTCAGTTTACTGACATGTAACGTATATAGCAGCGGAAATCTATTCAGAATTTTATTTAAAAGTTATCAGTAATTTTGTACAAAAGAAATAATTTAATGTGTCTCGTTGTGTTAAATATTTTATGTTGACAATATATGTGTCGTAAAATTTTTTACTAATTTAAAAATTTGCAATGTGAAGGATAAGAATGTCTGGTAATTGAATAGCAAATTCATTGCATGGAAATTAAAAGCGTGATAAGATAATTTTATTACAAAGAGATATTCAATTCATTCCTGATCTCAAAGCAAATGAAAATTGAAATATATATTCAACACATCAGAAATATTTATTTTCTTGATGGCTTGAATCGAATCCAATAAATTTTCTCACATTTACATATCTGCATGATATTATTTTGTGCAGTTAAATAATCAATTCTCTTTACAGAAATTTGAATATTTTTCAATATTATTTTTCATATTCTTGTGGTAAATGTTACATTTCGGATAAATCGCTGTGATTATGCTAGGTTTATATATAAGCTTAATATTTAAGAAGCAGCTTTGGGATCAATATAATCACAATTAAAAAAATACCACAAAAAAACGTGTATGTTGTATATATAGAAATTTTTCTCAAAAACCATGCACCATTCATTATATATGTAACATTTGAGACAAATGAAAATGTTTTGGTTTAACCGAATATCTCCGTTAATATCTGTTTTGTTATATAAAATACATGTAACTAATCTAAGATGTAATTCTATTTAATCTTACATAATCATAAATAGTCAAAATATATATAGGGTGTTAATTACGTACATTAATGTATATAGCGTTGTCTTATATTTGTAAAAATTTTATCAGTGTGACAACATTTTGACTATATTTTATTGGTTCTCCGTTCATATATAATTTCTTTAAAAAAATACATACAAAAGTGGATATATTCCTTTCTATTATATACTATATATGAAACACACCCTGTATATTTATAATTTTAGGTCATGGTGCTTTGTAATATACGTAATTTAACACTGCTAGGAAATTAGAAAATTTATTCACATGAGCGACCACCGATTTACCGTGGGCCCCTGCACGCTTACAAAATATCGAGCGATACGTACAGAAGGAAAACTGTAAAGTAGTAAATAGTGCCCCAAATTGAAATTCTAAGGGAATTATTAAACAACGACGAATGTATTTTGTACCTTATTGAAACGTCACATAAGTTTCTGTTTTTCTACTTAAAAAGCCGTTTACAATTTTATATGTATTTTATATTTACGAAGCCACGACGTGTCACATAAATGTGTATTGTATAATTTGCGGTCATCAATTGATGAATCCTGTTAAATAGTTTATTGTTATTCGTAGCTTAGGGGCCCCGTATGTAGATATAATGATAGGCGACAGAATTATTAAATAAATTATGTCATCGATGCCTTGTGTAGGTAGTTAATGTCAAATTATAGAATAAATATTCGTTGTCAATTGTAGAACGATATAGGCAAAGCCAGCAGCAGTTATTGTAAAAGTTGTTATCGCGTACTCATTGTGCATATACAACAACTGCGTTCAACTGATATACATATACATATATACATATATATATATATATATAT